GCAATGGGGAGCCCCACCCGGCCACGCACCCCACAGCCCCAGGGTTCCCCGCACCCTCGGAAAAGCAGAGATGAGACACGGTCTGTGTTAGTTTCTTTATTAATTCATAGTCTGATAGCTGGTGTACAGGGAAAATGATCTATACATCAGGGGCTAAGACAGGGAGATCCAAAAGGCTTCTTTCCGTAACAATTAAAAAAAGGAAATAAAAGTAATTTTTAAAACTTCTAAAAAGCTTCTAGTGTGCAGACTGCAGCATTCTCTAGGCTCAATGTCGGGTGCAGCCTCCCCCTACCAGCCCTACGAGCTATCTGAGCGCAAAGCAATGTCACTGCAGGTGCCTGGCACGGTGGCAGCACAGCACATTCCCTACGGCGCACACAAGGCCAAAGCACGGGACCCACACACAACTCTACGGTGATGCTACGGAGTCAGCTGTCACAGTGGGTCTAAGGAGGTTATCGTACACAGTGAGGGCAATGGATGGAGTCTGTGCCTCTATGGCTCAACTTTGGAGTGGGGAAGAGGGTTGCTTTGCTCTCCAAGGCTAAGCTGGGTCATTTGCTTCCCTTGCAGCCAGGCTTCTTCCCAACTGCAGGGGAGCCAGGGGCTTTTGCAGCAGACACACACCCACTGCGAGACAGGGCTGCCCTGCCAGGGCCACCATCGTGTGGCCTGAAGCTGGAGGTGGGCTTGTTCTGCATGTGGCCACAGAGACCAAACTTGGGCCCCATGAAACAGGCCACCTCCAGGGGAAAAGCAGGGGGTCCCCACCCCACTGTGCTACAAAAGCCAGGCCCCCGTGTTGGCTAGGGAAAGGACAGAGTCAGGGACACGGGACTTACTGCCACTACCTGCACCCTGCTCTCCTGGGGTCAAGTATTGTAGCAGATCCAACCTTCTACCCACCTCAGAGGTGCCCACCCCTGCTCTCCTGCCAGGCCCCGGGGCTGCCCTGGCTCCCAGGGCGACTGCTTGGTCCAGGCTGCTGCAGCGAGGCGTTTCCCCCGGCCACAGCGCAGGAAGCCGGGGAGCAGCCCCCCGTGTCTCTGGGGTT